TGGTACCTCAGTGGTAGAGCATCGAACGCGTTATTCGAAGGTCGCAGGATTGGATCCTGCCCACGACAACTTATCTGTTCACCAACTTTTCTTTCTTCTCATTTACATTACAATTGGCTTAATACCTTCCCCTACACCTTCCTTGACATTATTGTATGTTAGATCTCATAAATAGTGGGTGAAAACACGAAAAACAAGCCCTTAAGTATACACTTCTTTCACTTATTCATTAACGAGGGTCTCGTACTGGCAGAGTTGGTGTCTTTAGGTTGTATACGGGGGACTATTGGTCAGCTGCTAGTTAGTAATCAGTTCACGTGCTACGTTACACAAAACAGGCTCATAAAGAGTGTGCCACACTCGGCGCCACGGCTACTAGTGGCGCTGACTGACACTCCCACATTTAAATTGACATAGATACGCAGTAATGTGGCTGGGGGGATAGCTGTCGTGGTAGCTCAGCGATAGAGCATTGCACTCGTTATTCGAAGTCGCAGGTTTGGATCCTGCTCACGACAAGTTATCTGTTCACCCACTTTTCTTTCTTCTAATTTACATTACAATTGGCCCAATACTTTCCCCTATACCTTCCTTGACATTATTTTCTGTTAGATTAAAATAATATTGTGTAAAACACAAAAAATGAGCCTTTAAGTATACACTTGTTTCCCTTATTCATTAACGAGGGTCTCGTACTGGCAGACTTGGTGTCTTCAGTTTGTATACGGTGAACTATTTGTCAGCTGCTAGTTAGTAATATGTTCACGTTCTACGTGACGCCAAACAGGCTCATAAAAAGTGTGCCACACTCGCCGCCACGGCTACTAGTGGCGCTGACTGACACTCCCACGTTTAAATTGACATAGATACCCAATAAAGTGGCTGGGGGGATAGCTGTCTTGGTAGCTCAGTGGTAGAGCATCGAACGCGTTATTCGAAGGTCGCAGGTTCGAATCCTGCCCACGGCAAGTTATCTTTTCACACACTTTTCTTTTTCTCTCAATTACATTGCAATTCGGCTAATAACTTCCCCTATACCTTCCTTGACATTATTTCCTCTTAGATCTCATTATTTTTTGTAAAATACGAAAAACGAGGCTTTAAGTATACACTTCTTTCTCTTAATCATTAACGAGGGTCTCGTACTCGCAGACTTGGTGCCTTTAGGTTGTGTACGGGAGACTATTGTTCAGCTGATAGTTAGTAATAAGTACAGGCGCAACATCACGCCAAACAGGCTCATAAAGAGTATGCCACACTCGCCGCCATGGCTACTAAAGGCACTGACTGACACACTCACGTTTAATTGGACTTAGATACCCAATAAAGTGGTTGGGGAATAGCTGTCGCGGTAGCTCAGTGGTAAAGCATCGAACGCGGTAATGGAAGGTGGAAGGTTCGGATTCTGCCCACAGCAATTATCTTTTCACCCACTTTTTTTGTTCTCATTTACATCACAACTGGCCTAATAAGTTCCCCTATACTTTCCTTGACATCATTGTATGTTAGATTTGATTAATATTGTGTAAAACACGAAAAACGATCCCTTAGGTACACACTCGTTTTTCTTATTCATTAACGAGGGTCTCGTACTGGCAGACTTGGTGTCTTTAGTTTGTATACGGTGGACTATTGGTCAGCTGCTAGTTAGTAATAAGTTCACGTGCTACGTGACGCCAAACAGGCTCATAAAGAGTGTGCCACACTCGCCGCCACGGCTACTAGTGGCGCTGACTGGCACTCCCACGTTTAAATTGACATAGATACCCAATAAAGGGGCTTGGGGGATAGCTAACTTGGTAGCTCAGTGGTAAAGCATCAAACGCGTTATTGGAAGGTCACAGGATTGGATCATGCCCACGGCAAGTTATGTTTTCCCCCACGTTTCTTTCTTCTCACTTACATTAAAATTGTCCTAATAAGTTCCCCTATACCTTTCCTGACATTATTTTCTTTTAGATCTTATTCTTTTGTGTAAAATACGAAAAACGAGCCCCTAAGTATACACGTTGTTTTCCCTTATTCATAACGGGTCTACGTACTGGCAAGAATTGGTGCCTATTAGGTTGTATATGGGGTCTATGGTCAGCTGCCTACTTAGGTAATAAGTTCACGTGCTACGTGACGCCAACCAGGCTCATAAAGAGTGTGCCACACTCGCCGCCATGACTACTAGTGGCGCTGACTGACCACTCCCACGGTTTAATTGACATAGAACCCAATAAAGTGGCTGGGGGATAGCTGTCGTGGTAGCTCAGTGGATGATCAACGAACGCGTTATTCGAAGGTGGCAGGTTTGGATCCTGCCCACGGCAAGTTATCTTTCACCCACTTTTATTTCTTCTCATTTACATTACAATTGGCCTACTAACTTCCCTACAGGTTTCCTTGGCATTATTGTTCTGTTAGATCTCATTATTATTGTGTTAAACACGAAAAACGAGCCCTTAAGTCGACACTTGTTTCCCTTATCATTAACGAGGGTCTCGTACTGGCAGACTTGGTGCCTAGAGGTTGTATAGGGACTATTAGCTCAGCTGCTAGTTAGTAATAAGTTGCACAGTGCTACGAGACCCAAACCAGGCTCATAAAGAGTGTGCCACACTCGCCGCCACGGCTACTAGTGGCGCTGACTGACACTCCCACATTTAAATTGACATAGACACCAGTAATGTGGCTGGGGGATAGCTGTCGTGGTAGCTCAGTGATAGAGCATCGAACTCGTTATTCGAAGTTCGCAGGTTTGGATCCTGCCCACGCAAGTTATCTGTTCACCCACTGTTTTTCTTCTCTATTACAATACAATAGGCCTAATACATTTCCCCTAACCTTCCTTGACATTATTTTCATGTTAGATCTAAAGTAATATTGTGTAAAAACATGAAAAATGAGCCCTTAAGTATACACTTGTTTCCTTTATTTATTAACGAGGGTCTCGTACTGGCAGACTTGGGTCTTTAGTTGTATACGGTGGACTATTTGTCAGCTCTAGTTAGTAATAGTTCACATTCTACGTGACGCCAAACAGGCTCATAAAGAGTGTGCCACACTCGCCGCCATGGCTACTAGTGGCGCTGACTGACACTCTCACGTTTAAATTGACATAGATACCCAATAAAGTGGCTGGGGGATAGCTGTAGTGGTACCTCAGTGGTAGAGCATCGAACGCGTTATTCGAACCAATAAAGTGGCTGGGGGGATAGCTGTCTTGGTAGCTCAGTCGTAGAGCATCGAACGCGTTATTCGAAGGTCGCAGGTTCGGTTTCTTCCCACGGCAAGTTATCTTTTCACACACTTTTCTTTTTCTCTCAATTACATTGCAATTCGCCTAATAACTTCCCCTATACCTTCCTTGACATTATTTCCTCTTAGATCTCATTATTTTGTGTAAAATACGAAAAACGAGCCTTTAAGTATACACTTCTTTCTCTTAATCATTAACGAGGGGTCTCGTACTCGCAGACTTGGTGCCTTTAGGTTGTGTACGGGAGACTATTGCTCAGCTGATAGTTAGTAATAAGTACAGCTGCAACATGACGCCAAACAGGCTCATAAAGAGTGTGCCAGACTCGCCGCAATGGCTACTAGAGGCACTGACTGACACACCCACATTTAAATTCACTTAGATACCCAATAAAGTGGTTGGGGAATAGCTGTCCAGGTAGCTCAGTGGTAAAGCATCGAACGCGTTATTGGAAGGTCGCAGGTTTGGATTCTGCCCATGGCAATTATCTTTTCACCCACTTTTTTTGTTCTCATTTACATCACAAATGGCCTAATAAGTTCCCCTATACTTTCCTTGACATCCTTGTATGTTAGATTTTGATTAATATTGTGTAAAACACGAAAAACGATCCCTTAGGTACACACTAGTTTTTCTTATTCATTAACGAGGGTCTCGTACTGGCAGACTTGGTGTTTTAGTTTGTATACGGAGGACTATTGGTCAGCTGCTAGTTAGTAATAAGTTCACGTGCTACATGACGCCAAACAGGCTCATAAAGAGTGTGCCACACTCGCCGCCACGGCTACTACTAGCGCTGAATGACACTCCCAGGTTTAAATTGACATAGATACCCAATAAAGTGGCTGGAGGGATAGCTGTCGTGGTACCTCAGTGGTAGAGCATCGAACGCGTTATTCGAAGGTCGCAGGTTTGGATCCTGCCCACGACAACTTATCTGTTCACTAACTTTTCTTTCTTCTCATTTACATTACAATTGGCTTAATACCTTCCCCTACACCTTCCTTGACATTATTGTATGTTAGATCTCATAAATATTGGGTGAAAACACGAAAAACAAGCCCTTAAGTATACACTTCTTTCACTTATTCATTAACGAGGGTCTCGTACTGGCAGAGTTGGTGTCTTTAGGTTGTATACGGGGGACTATTGGTCAGCTGCTAGTTAGTAATCAGTTCACGTGCTACGTGACACAAAACAGGCTCTTAAAGAGTGTGCCACACTCGGCGCCACGGCTACTAGTGGCGCTGACTGACACTCCCACATTTAAATTGACATAGATACGCAGTAATGTGGCTGGGGGGATAGCTGTCGTGGTAGCTGAGTGATAGAGCATTGAACTCGTTATTCGAAGTCGAAGGTTTGGATCCTGCTCACGACAAGTTATCTGTTCACCCACTTTTCTTTCTTCTAATTTACATTACAATTGGCCCAATACTTTCCCCTATACCTTCCTTGACATTCTTTTCTAATAGATTAAAATAATATTGTATAAAACACAAAAAATGAGCCTTTAAGTATACACTTGTTTCCCTTATTTATTAACGAGGGTCTCGTACTGGCAGACTTGGTGTCTTTAGTTTGTATACGGTGGACTATTTGTCAGCTGCTAGTTAGCAATATGTTCACGTTCTACGTGACGCCAAACAGGCTCATAAAAAGTGTGCCACACTCGCCGCCACGGCTACTAGTGGCGCTGACTGACACTCCCACGTTTAAATTGACATAGATACCCAATAAAGTGGCTGCGGGGATAGCTGTCTTGGTAGCTCAGTGGTAGAGCATCGAACGTGTTATTCGAAGGTCGCAGGTTCGAATCCTGCCCACGGCAAGTTATCTTTTCACACACTTTTCTTTTTCTCTCAATTATATTGCAATTTGGCTAATAACTTCCCCTATACCTTCCTTGACACTATTTCCTCTTAGATCTCATTATTTTTTGTAAAATACGAAAAACGAGCCTTTAAATATACACTTCTTTCTCTTAATCATTAACGAGGGTCTCGTACTCGCAGACTTGGTGCCTTTAGGTTGTGTACGGGAGACTATTGTTCAGCTGATAGTTAGTAATAAGTACAGGCGCAACATGACGCCAAACAGGCTCATAAAGAGTGTGCCACACTCGCCGCCATGGCTACTAAAGGCACTGACTGACACACTCACGTTTAATTGGACTTAGATACCCAATAAAGTGGTTGGGGAATAGCTGTCGCGGTAGCTCAGTGGTAAAGCATCGAACGCGTCAATGGAAGGTGGAAGGTTCGGATTCTGCCCACAGCAATTATCTTTTCACCCACTTGTTTTGTTCTCATTTACATCACAACTGGCCTAATAAGTTCCCCTATACTTTCCTTGACATCATTGTATGTTAGATTTGATTATATTGTGTAAAACACGAAAAACGATCCCTTAGGTACACACTCGTTTTTCTTATTCATTAACGAGGGTCTCGTACTGGCAGACTTGGTGTCTTTAGTTTGTATACGGTGGACTATTGGTCAGCTGCTAGTTAGTAATAAGTTCACGTGCTACGTGACGCCAAACAGGCTCACAAAGAGTGTGCCACACTCGCCGCCACGGCTACTAGTGGCACTGACTGGCACTCCCACGTTTAAATTGACATAGATACCCAATAAAGTGGCTTGGGGGATAGCTAACTTGGTAGCTCAGTGGTAAAGCATCAAACGCGTTATTGGAAGGTCACAGGTTTGGATCATGCCCACGGCAAGTTATGTTTTCCCCCACGTTTCTTTCTTCTCACTTACATTAAAATTGTCCTAATAAGTTCCCCTATACCTTCTCTGACATTATTTTCTTTTAGATCTTATTCTTTTGTGTAAAATACGAAAAACGAGCCCCTAAGTATACACTTGTTCATTAACGAGGGTCTCGTACTGGAAGACTTGGTGCCTTTAGGTTGTATGAGGGGGACTCTTGGTCAGTTGCTACTTTGTAATACGTTCACGTCTACGTGACGCCAAACAGGCTCATAAAGAGTGTGCCACACTCGCCGCCATGACTACTAGTGGCGCTGATTGACACTCCCACGTTTGAATTGACATAGATACCCAATAAAATGGCTGGGGGGATAGCTGTCGTGGTACCTCAGTGGTAGAGCATTGAACGTGTTATTCGAAGGTCGCAGGTTTGGATCCTGCCCACGACAACTTATCTGTTCACCCACTTTTCTTTCTTCTCATTTACATTACAATTGGCTTAATACCTTCCCCTACACCTTCCTTGACATTATTTTCTGTTAGATCTCAATAATATTGTGTAAAACACAAAAAACGACTCTTAAGTATACAGTTGTTTTCCTTATTCATTAACGAGGGTATTGTAGTGGCATACTTGGTGCGTAAAGGATGTATAAGAAAACTATTGCTCAGCTGCTAGTTAGTAATAAGTTCACATGATACATGACGCCAAACAGGCTGATAAAGAGTGTGCCACACTCGGCGCCACGGCTACTAGTGGCGCTGACTGACACTCCCACATTTAAATTGACATAGATACCCAGTATTGTGGCTGGGGGGATAGCTGTCGTGGTAGCTCAGTGATAGAGCATCGAACTCGATATTCAAAGTCGCAGGTTTGGATCCTGCCCACGACAAGTTATCTGTTGACCCACTTTTATTCTTCTCATTTACATTACAATTGGCCTAATACTTTCCCCTATACCTTCCTTGACATTATTTTCTGTTAGATTAAAATATTATTGTGTAAAACACGAAAAATGAGCCCTTAAGTATACACTTGTTTCCTTTATTCATTAACGAGGGTCTCGTACTGGCAGACTTGGTGTCTTTAGTTTGTATACGGTGGACTATTTGTCAGCTGCTAGTTAGTAATATGATCACGTTCTACATGACGCCAAACAGGCTCATAAAAAGTGTGCCACACTCGCCGCCACGGCTACTAGTGGCGCTGACTGACACTCCCACGTTTAAATTGGCATACACACCCAATAAAGTGGCTGTTGGGATAGCTGTCGTGGTAGATTAGTGGTAACGCATCGAACGCGTTATTGGAAGGTCGCAGACTCGGATCCTGCCCACGGCGATTATCTTTTCACCCAATTTTTGTGTTCTCATTTAGATCACAATTGGCCTAATAACTTCCTTTATACCTTCTTTCTCATTATTGTATGTTAGGGTGAAAACACAAAAAACAAGCCCTTAAGAATACACTTGTTTCACTTATTTATTAACCAGGGTCTCGTACTGGCATCTTGGTTCCTTTAGGTTGTATACGGGGGACTATTGGTCAGCTGCTAGTTAGTAATAAGTTCACACGTTACATGACGCCAAACAGGCTCATAAAGAGTGTGCCACACTCGCCGCCATGGCTACTAGTGGTAATGACTGACGCTCTCACGTTTAAATTGACATGAATGCCCATTAAAGTGGCTGGAGGGATAGCTGTCGTGGTAGCACAGTGGTAGAGCAGCGAACGCGTTATAGGAAGGTCGCAGGTTTGGATCCTGCCCACGGCAAGTTATGTTTTCCCACACTTTTCTTTCTTCTCATTTACTTTACAATCGGCCTAATAACTTCCCCTATAAGTTCCTTGACAATATTTTCTGTTACATCTCATTCATATTGTGTAAAATACGAAAAACGAGCCCTTCCGTATACTTTTCTTTCCCTTATTCATTAATGAGGGTCTAGTACTGGCACACTTGGTGCCTTTAGGTTTATGTACGGGGGACTATTGGTCAGCTGCTAGTTAGTAATACGTTCACGTGCTACATGACGCCAAACAGGCTCATAAAGGGTGTGCCACACTCGCCACCTTGCCTACTGGTGGCGCTGACTGACACTCCCACATTTAAATTGGCATAAACACCCAATAAAGTGGCAGTGGGGATAGCTGTCGTGGTAGCTCAGTGGTAAAGCATCGAACGCGTTTTCGGGAGGTCGGAGGTTTTTATCCCGCCCACGGCAAGTTATCTTTTCACCTTGTTTTTTTTTCTTCTAAATTACATTACAATCGGCCTAATAAGTTCCCCTATACCTTCCTTGACATCATTGTATGTTATATTTGATTAATATTGTGTAAAACACCAAAACCGAGCCCTTAGGTACACACTTGTTTCCCTTATTCATTAACGAGGGTCTCGTACTGGCAGACTTGGTGTCTTTAGTTTGTATACGGTGGACTACTGATCAGCTGCTAGTTAGTAATAAGTTCACGTGCTACGTGACGCCAAACAGGCTTATAAAGAGGGTGCCACACTCGCCGCCACGGCTACTTGTGGCACTGACTGACACTCCCACGTTTAATTTGACATAGATACCCAATAAAGTGGCTGGGGGGATAGCTGTCGTGGTACCTCAGTGGTAGAGCATCGAACACGTTATTCGAAGGTCGCGGGTTCGCATCCTGCCCACAGCAAGTTATCTTTTCACCCACTTTTCTTTCTGGTCGTTTGCATTACAATTGGCCTAATAACAACCCCTATACATTCCTTGACATCTCTTGTGAGCAAACATATACCCACATTCTATTTCCAGACAGACACTCAAAAGCCCTGGTTCACCAAAACATTAAAACGCCTAGAACACAAAAAGAAACGCCTCTTTCGTTCAGCCAAACAGAAGGGAAGCCAATGCGCATGGAAAAACTACTATGTAGCCGAGCATGACTACCTAGGAAAGATATGCGAAGCAAAACACTCTTTTTATAACTATAACTTGCCGACCATTCTAAAAAGTGATCCACGCAAATTTTTTGAAATAATCAACCCTCACCCCACGCAGTCTACTAACTTCACCGACAATGCCGGCAGACCTGTAAGTGACGTTGATTGTGCAAACATCTTTAATAGCGCATCTGGATCAGTTTCACAAAAGAAAGAGACCTTACATTTTACATGCCGACTTCCACTATCGAACTCTTGACTCCACCCATCACATTTACCGTGTCTGGTATAATATTGTCACGGGGTCGTGACGTGCCGAAGTCAGGAGACTTCGTGTTGGGATTTAACTGTTTATTTGGGTGAACCTGTGCCCGGTAAACGGAAAGTCCAATTACAGCAGTAGTCTTGCACAGATAGTAGTCTCGGACTGATAGCGGCGAATGGAGCGTCGGCCTTGTATCAACAACTGACAAGCGGCGAAACGCGTCGGCATTTATACTCTTGCTGTCGAATGTTCTAGCGTTATCGCTGGCGGTGGCGTAGGTTCCAGAACAATCTGTACCGTTCGCACAGTGGGCGTGATCTTATCGAAATGATCTACTACAGTCCGGAACCTTCTCGAAAACTGCAGGCGCGGTTTGCGCTGAGAATCGTGTGGTGTTCTGGGACGATAACAAAAACTTCTGAAATGGAACGTGGCATTGCCCCCCTCTGAAAAAAAAAATGCATCGTCCCGGTGCTTTAACACAAGATGAAGGTACAATAATAATGCAAGAAAGTACAATGAATAAAAGATACAATACAACAATAATACAAAAAAACACTGTTTCAGTTTGTTAACGTGCATGAAACGGCTTGAGGCGCGCGACATGTACGACTTCAGGTCGCGATCGGCGTCGATGAGAGTTCGCGATGCCGTCGGGGACAACCTCGTAATCAAGTGGGCCGAGACGTCGAACCACCCTGTACGGTCCGAAGTACCGTCGCAGAAGCTTTTCACTTAGTCCACGTCGGCGTATCGGCGTCCACACCCAAACACGTTCACCGAGCTGGTATTCCACGAAGCGTCGTCTAAGGTTGTAACGGTGGCTGTCGGTCGTCTGTTGATTCTTGATACGGAGACGCGCAAGTTGTCGGGCTTCTTCGGCGCGTTGAAGGTACTCGCTCACATCGAGGTTTTCTTCGTT